CCAAAATTGGGTCCAATCAGCTGCCTGCCAGCTACTGAAAAGACGGGCTGTGATTGGCTGAAAGTTTCTAAGGTGAGGGGGAGTATTTATTAAAGAGACCCTGGGCTGGGAGTTGGAGAGCTGAGAGCGGAGGTTGGAATTGCTTGGAAACTTCGGCGGCGCGGCGACCGGCCAGCTTCAGCCCGGGAACTTTTCTTTGCTGTTGGAAGGAGGAGAGAAGGGGTGCACGAATCCCCACTTGTGCTCTGCCTTTCCCTCCTCCTCCTCTGCAAGCCGCCTTCTCCCACTTGGAGCGGGCCCTGCGGCGCTGGCCACCCCGCGCCCTCCACAGTGCTCGCCGCTGCAACCGGGGGACGCGCCAGCCTCCCTGGGAGCAGCTCGCTCCGCGCCCCGGCCGCCGAGGGGAGAGGAGCTCGCACCTCGCGTCCCCGAGCCGCCGCGGCTGCTCGCCTTTCCCGGCCACCCGCCCCCTGCCCCGGGCTCGCGCATGAATCTCCTGGACCCCTTTATGAAGATGACCGACGAGCAGGAGAAGGGCCTCTCCGGCGCCCCCAGCCCCACCATGTCCGAGGACTCGGCAGGCTCGCCCTGCCCCTCGGGCTCCGGCTCGGACACGGAGAACACGAGGCCCCAGGAGAACACGTTCCCCAAGGGCGAGCCCGACCTGAAAAAGGAGAGCGAGGAGGACAAGTTCCCCGTGTGCATCCGCGAGGCCGTCAGCCAGGTGCTCAAGGGCTACGACTGGACGCTGGTGCCCATGCCCGTGCGCGTCAACGGCTCCAGCAAGAACAAGCCGCACGTCAAGCGGCCCATGAACGCCTTCATGGTGTGGGCGCAGGCGGCGCGCAGGAAGCTGGCCGACCAGTACCCGCACCTGCACAACGCCGAGCTCAGCAAGACACTGGGCAAACTCTGGAGGTAGGGCCGGGCGCGCGCCGCGACGGCGGAGGGCGCGGGGCTGGGTGGGCGCTGCGGACGAGGGGAAGAGGCCCACTGGGCTGGGAGCTGGACCCAGTCCGACCGCGGCTCTTTGGGAAGCAGGGCCGCGGGATGCGAGCGGAGGG